TGCGAACGAGGTCGATTAAGCCCAATTAGCCCCCTTCAAGAAGAATACCTACAACCCTCTCAGTAGTTCACTTCCACCGACAACTCATTATCTCGCCGCCGCTCACCAGCACCCTGTTACGCACCTGTTGAACTGGATGAAGACCAGGTTCCACACTTCGACCACGTTGGGGTCGTCCATGTTGACCAGGTGGGCGGCGTCTCGGCCTCCGATCCTGTCGTAGTGGATCTCCGTGCAGGGGCCGCACGGGCCCGTGTCGCCCATCTCCCAGAAGTTGTCCTTCATGTTGCCCTTCAGGATACGTCCCTCCGGGATTCTGAGGAAGGTTGGTGAGGACGGTCACGAGCGGGACAATACAGAGACAATGATGCAAAGAAAACAATCAAGGTGAGAGTATTTATGTAGCAAAATCGATAGCAGTGCACTGAGAACCAGAAAACAAATACCGGTGACAAGAAAAGAATTCTCACACCAGTGACGCAAAACTCACCCGAGCGACAGCCAGATGTTTTTGGTCTCCAGGTCGGGCCCGAGACCGGCGTCCTCCTTTCCCTCGAAGTAGGAGACGTACAGACGGTCTTTATCCAGGCCGAACACGTTTGTGAGCAGGTCCCAGGCCCACGTGCAGACCTCCTTCTGTGTACGACAGAGACGGATTTAGGCGTGAGAGAGGGAGGGTCAGTCACGGCAGCATCAGACAAAAGAAACGGAGGCAATCATGCGTACATTATTACATTAAAATAAAATTTAATTCATCAAGATGATGCCATACTACAATATGAACACTTTGGATTCTTCGGCAATCGCGTTAACCCTTCCTCACCTTGAAGTAGTCGCCGAAGCTCCAGTTGCCCAGCATCTCGAAGAAGGTGTGATGGTACACGTCCTTGCCCACGTCATCCAGGTCGTTGTGCTTGCCACCGGCGCGGATACACTTTTGGCTGTTGACGGCGCGCCGCAGTCGGCCTTGCTCCGAGCCGGGCTCCACAGTGCCAAGGAAGATGGGCTTGTACTGTGGCAGATAAAGAAACATGTCAATTAAGAGATCGCTGCAATTAGGAACTGACAGAGCGTCCCTCCGAGATTCTGAAGAAGGTAGGTGAGAACGGTCACGAGAGGGACATTACAGAGCTAGCTGCACTAAAGTACACACATGAGCAGAGCCTACATGACATATAATCGCCGCGTGACCAACCAGCCAGCACGAGCCCCATGGCGTATTATAGTGCGACTAAGCGATCACACCACCCGCCCTTGTCTGACTCGCCGGTCCCACCACTAAACACACAGATTCCACCACCCGTCCCGCACCTGGTTCATGCCGGCGTTGGTGAACAGCAGCGTCGGGTCATCGTGCGGGATCACTGACGACGAGTGCACGTAGGTGTGCTGCTGCTTCTCGCGGAAGTAGTCGATGAACGCGCGACGCACGTCCGCACCCGTCTTCAGTTCCAGCATCGTGAATGGCCGACAGGAAATACGAGCTGCAAAGAGCGGGGAGACGTCAGGAAATGCGTAAAAGGTTTGAGGTAAATGTAACGAGGAGAATAGTGAGACACTTGGCTTCTAGGCTACGCATTGGTAGGCAGCAAATGATCGTCAAAAAGGTAATAAAACAGCCTAATTATATTTTCATTTGTCATTTCAAGCAGGTTAAAAATGGTCATATGCCTATTAATTACAGATCAGTCACAGATCATAAACTAATGGCGGTTAAGAGTTACAGATGCTGCTAGATAAAAACAATCAAACATCAATGGCAATCCAGGACTTGGCTTCTGGTTTCCATCACTTGGGGTACCTGGTCATGCTGCCAAGACCTCCCCAAAGAAATGCGGTTACATCTACCTGCTGGGATCTTAACCCTCGCCGGCACAGGGGGGGGGGGGGGGGTTGATGCAACCCCCCCTAAGGTTTTTCGCGAATAACTCGCGTAAAAAGCGGCCGATCGCGACGAAACTTTCAGTACCCTCGCATTGATCAATTTTACACGTTCCCTGAAAATTTCATGACCCTGACCCCAATGACCTTTGACCTGTGACCTCTTTTCCGTGACCATGTTTGGCCGAAATCGCGATTTGGCGTATGTCGGCTCGCATTAGCCGCGCGTTTGCAAGCTTTTCGTGGTTTCAAACGTTCAAACATGTGATTTGATGCTGCTCCCCTACATTAGGGTGGGTGTCAAGGTCACCTGAAGGTCAGGTCAGGTCATTGACCTTTGGTGACCTCGGGTGACCTCGGTTCACTTTTTCGAGTTTTACATGTTTCTAGGCTAGTTTTTGGAGCTGAATTCGAATTTAGCAGCCATTTGAACATTTACGAAGTAGTTTTGGTGCCTTCGTAACATGTTACGAAGCTGTCAGAGGCGGTTGACACGTATTACGAATACCCGTCACAACCCCTACCGGTTGACCTGACCTGACCTGACCCGACCTGGACTAAATGCTTAAAAACATCATCTCTGATCAAAACTAACACGATATTCGTGATCAGCACCCCGGAAAACCACATAGCAGCCACACTTTACGACTTTCTAACAGGTCCCGATTTTCCCGGTTTTCGGGTCATTGACCTGACCTGGAAGGTCACCCGATGACCTAGGACCTTAAAATTGGGTATCATCGGCTTCCTCTCGTGACGGGCAACACGCTCGTTTTTTCCGCGAAGCTCTAGCTCGATCAGGGGCCAAACGCGAGGGGGGTCGTACCAACCCCCCCCCCCCCCTTGTGCCGTCGAAGGACGCGAAATGGCCTGTGCCGGCGAGGGTTAACACGCGCACCGACGGGGGGGGGCGGATATCCGCCCCCCCCTGAAGTTTATCGCGAATAGCGGGAAAACCGCGGCGCGCAGCGCCGCAAAATTTGGTACGACTATTCTCTCATCAATTTTACACATGGTGTGCAAGTTTGAACCTCCTATCTTTTAAGGTCAGGTCACCAGGTCACTTTGAATGACCCAACCTCAAGTCACTTTTTTGCAACTTTGTCACCGTGCCAGAGCTACAGTAGATGTCGGAGGCCTTTGAAAGTCGCAGGATGTTATAAGGTCATTAGTAGCTACCATTTGTATATCTCGGAATTTTGATATCGATGACCTAAGGTCAGGTCAATTTCTCGACCTCCCCATTATAAGTCAATGGGGGAGAAATCAACTCCCTGTTTTTACCACAAAAAGGGTCGGAATGGCCCCATAAACCATACATGACCTCATATACGATCAACCTTCACTACCTTGAGGTCTGTTTTGCTGTTGGGCAGCTGTAAGGTCATGTGACGTCATCAAAGGTCACCAGCGGTTTTTTGACAATAACTCCGTACAGGAACAAGATACAGCCGCGCGGATGGTCTCATTGTGTTCAGCTCGTCAAGGCGCATCGAATGATATACATGATGACCTCGAGGTCACGTGACCTGAGGTCAACCTTTGACCTTGACCTTTCGACGTCAACATATATATCATTCGATGCAGATTGACGAGAGGATCACGATGCTGCCCTTAGTTTGTTCCTATATTGACTAGTTCGAAAGTTATTCGAGAAAAACTCTCCATCCCTGGCGCCGCCATTTTGACTTTTTTGACCCCTGTGACGTCATCTTTGACCTGACCTGAAAATGACCTTAGTAAAAATTGTAGACCTTGTCCGTGCGTATCCCTTGCCGTTTACCGCTTGTCGCTATCTTGCTTCGTTCTCGAGATCTCAGGGGGGGCGGTCATCCGCCCCCCCCCCGTCGGTACGAAGTTGGCGCAGACCCCCGTCGGTACGCGGGTTAATAAACAATTTATTGGATTTCATAGATTATTATGCATTTATGAGCCCAGTTAATGTTGTTGCATAATCCCTGAAAGGTGGTAAGGTTCATGTCTGCAGTGTGTCTGTACTCTGTAGATACAGGCTCGTCGTCTTCGTCGTTGTTCCCCCGGCCCCTAGAGGAGCGTAGCCAGGCGGCTCAATTGGGCGCGGTAGCCAGCGGCCAAAGCCGTAACTCGGTCGCCGTTGGGTGAATAGTACCCTATCGTGCCAGGCGGCGCCCCGCCAGCGCCGGACATCGCAGCAGGACGTGCCGCGGTGTGTCGGCCTCCTCTCGGCACACACGGCACAGCGCGGCCGGACACTCCACGGAGTTGCACAGGTCGCATTCAGGCGTTGGGCGACGGCCGATGCGGTGGAGGTACTGCTCTGAGCATGACCAGTGGCCGGCTCGGAGCTGGTGGATCTTCTCCGGCGGTCTTCTCCCTCCACCGGGCCCGGCAGGCGGGAGCCCCTGATCTCCTTGTGCCACCCGTCCGGCCAGGCCTCCCTCCACCTTGCAGAGGCAGAGCGGGCGGCCGCTCTGGTCGCAGTGGTGACGTCGAGTCGATTGGTGGGGTGTCTTTTGGTAAGGCACTGGCCTCTTTGGCAAGGCCGTCCGCTTTCTCATGCAGCGGCAGCACGCAGTGCGCCGGCACCCACTGCAGCTGGATGAACTGGAGTCTGGAGGGACCTCCTTCTCGAGGTGGACTCCGTGAACATTATTACGGAGAGGATACACGGCGCCATGGACATCGCTAGATCGCGGCCGTAAATCGCCGTAGCCAAATTACAATAAATGCGTTGTATTTGGCACATCTTTTTGTAGTGGGATTGAATACTTGAATATTTCTCATCTCAGATATGCCAAAAAATATTCTGACCATTTAATAAGTACAATAAAACAGGAGTAAAAATAGGTTAACGTACTTGCCCATTCCTCAGTGACCTTGACTATTCATGTCCTAACTCTCAAAGTCTAATCTCAAATGTGCTGGTCTGTTCGCAATCTGTAGAATCGAAATTTGGACGACGGTGAAAACAGGGCGCCTGGGGCGATTTGATCAAGGTTCGTGAAATTTACACATGACGTTTAGCATTTAGAAGGCCCGTGAAGGGGGAGAACTTCCAAATGTCACGTGACTAATATGCCCTCCAGCGCCCTGTTTTCACCGGCGTCCCGAAATTTGTCTGTACCTCAGCAAAAAATCTCACCGATATGAGCATTTCTTCAACCGATATGGAGGGGTTGAATGTGGACATGTCGAAAATATAATCTTAATATTAATTATCACTCCTTATATGGTCATCGTTCCACCCATTTTCTTGACATCATAATCTTTTATTTGATTTATCTTATTTTAGATTACCTCCCTGCAGTTTGCCCAACCAAACCGGCGGCGCGAGCCACGCCGGTACCGCATTGGCATAGCAATAGTGAATTTTACAGACAACGAAAAAAAAACATTATGTGGAAGAACGATGAGTGACTCAGAAAAACGTCAGAAAGCAATTTTCATGAAATTGTGACTTACTTTCTCGCAAATCCTCTCCTAAAAGCCTCGACAGCTGTCCGAAAGCGTGCAGCGGTGCAGCCTCGACGAACGCTGCGCACACGGTATATAGAGAACTAGGTAAAACCGGTTCGAAATTACAACACTAAGGTATTTTGACCACTATTTTCAGCTGACCTTTTAAGTCTAAAAAAGAGAACTAAGCAACAAATTTCCATGAGTTTTATGATTTGTATATATATTTTTGATTTATGATCACAGAGCACGTCATGTATGAACCTGTGAAGCAGTAACGAAAATAAATTGTTGGCTATCTCCGCCATTTCAAAAATTATATATCTTAAAATGCAAAGATTGTTCATGGACAAAATTAATTTTTCACAATCAAAAATTAAAATTGAAAGACAAAAAGTAATATCAAAGGCCGACACTCTTTCATTGAATTTCGAAATTATCATAGTTCTGAGCTGTTCAGCCTACCGGACCTGCCAATGCTCCACCCTGAATTGTTGAGTAATTTCAGTGATGTGGGGTTTAAAACATGGTCAACAGATATCAAAATTGAAATATCTTTCAGATTATGTGTGTTTTGTTGCCTTTTAAACATTTGAAACTGTATTTAGTTGATGTTGAAGACATAACCGCCATTGGTGTCCTTGGTCACCCTGTCCCACTAAATGTAATATTTTTTGAAAACAAGACCGAGTCGGCATCTAAATGAACCACTAAAATAATGAAAAATACTCACATTATAACATATCAAAATATCAAAGCTCATCTAAATCGGGAAATTTGGCAATTGGCTTCCGAATATGAAAGCAAGTTTTTTAGAAACTGAACAGTCCTGAACAAAAACAACAATATTTGGTAAAGCTGTCGAAAGTTGGCGTGCAAAAGGACTTCTTCGAAATTAAAATTTAATTTTCTTTCCAGATATGCATGTTTCATTGCAGTTTTGATGTTGTAAGCTACATTTTTTGGTCTGGAATGTATTAGCGTCCTTCCTGCTAAAGGTCTCACGGTAACATTTAATAGAATATTACTAAAAAACAAGACCGAGTCGGCATCTATTGAAGTCACGATATTTAAGCAAATTAAATTCTCTATCTGATAAGATAACTTTTAGAACCAATATAAATCGGGAACTTGCAGAATTTGGTGTTGAACAATGCGGGCCATGATTTACAACCACAAGTTGCGTACTGTAAATACTAGCAGACGCACGACGTTGCATTCGATTGGCTAAGCGACGTTTCATTTGCTGACAGACTTTTTCAGAGAACACCTTTTAGTTTCAACATATTTTCTGACTTGGTTTTTGTTGATATTACCTACTTTATGTTGATGGGAAACGAAAGTTAATGCCTAGGTAATTTTAAAACCTGTTTTTTCATCGTGGGAGATTATCAGTGACCGGTTGGGTGATTTTGTGTTTTAGCTTCTTATCTGTGATATTCTAATAGCTGGGAATGACTCAAGTTGGCTTCTAGAGCAGTGAGGTCTGAGACGAAAAGGACCATGAAAAATGTATATCAAGCAAAGCTATGTAAATTGTGAACCATATTAAGTATATTCTTCATTAATGATTATAAAAGTTTTGTCTCACAGGGAAGACGTCTTGGTATCGGTTGGGCGAACATAGCACGAGCTGCCATTTGGGCGGGAATGCGTATTAACCTACAACCTGTTATTGCACATGGCAGCTTGTGCTATGTTGGACCAGGACGCTTGAGCCTGACGGCTACGCGCCCTAATCCACGAAGAAGAAGAAAGAAGAAGCTTGTGCTACGTCTGCCTTATCGTTACCAACGTCTTCAGTGAAACACTTTCAGCAGTGCAGATGAGAAAAAATTAATTGAGCAAATATAATGCCGTAGGTACATATCAAACATATAAACCAGGTTACCATCAACATGTCGGGTGTAACAGGCGGATTGCGCTGAAATTTCAGCACAGTGTCCAGAGTAATGGTGAAACTTCAGTTTTTTACATAAAAGAAACAATTTTGATGAGGAGTAACTCCAAGCGCTTACATTTTGGAGCATAACTGGACAAAGAAATTTCAGCGCAACTGGATGAGTTAAGAAATTTTGATGTAAGATGACAAGACCTGAATTCTGACCTTAGCTGACCTTCAATCCCTACACAATACGCTTGATTATCTTAAACCCGAGTTAATGACATGTTCTGTGCTTTCTCAGGTAGTCTGTAGCTTGTTAAATATGTGATAGATTTTAATAACAGATGTTGATGTTATTAAACTTTAAAAAAGATGTTTGCAATCTTTTGTTCCAATAAAACTTGCCATTAAAGTTTGCCATTGTGTGCCTGTGGCTGGCTTTGTGGTTTCTGAATTCTGAGCATATTATCCTCCATCAGGCTTGTTTCCAGCAGCACAACTGGAGCAGTGAGCACAGCAGCTAATTCCCTATCTTCCTTCCAGCTCTGCAATGGTCTGCATTTCTGGAATGGTTTCAAACAGGCCTAACTGAACACAAAATGCATTTTCACATAGTAACAGTTTAAGAATAATATTATTCTTAAGACAGTTGTAAAGCAATGTATAAGGAAATGGATATACGGTGTTTAATTGTATATGAATAGAATTAGGTGTGCTGAGACTTGTACTTTATGAACTTGAACAGTGAACACTAGAGTAACTAATTCAACTATTTGTTGTTATGCAAACTGCCCGCCAGCGGACGGAGGCCAACCGACGGACGCCGGCTCAATGGCCAACAGTGGCCCGCCCGCCGGCCGACACCGGCCCGCCGGCCGACGGTGGCTCGTCGACCGACACCGGCCCGTCGGCCGACTACGGCCCTCCGGCTGATGGTGGCCCGCCAGCCGACGGAGGTCCGCCGGCCATTCGTGGCACGCCCGCCGACGGCAGCTCGACGACACGTCCTGGCTATGTCACCCCCAAGATTACTTCGCCCCCCAAGTCCCTAGGTGAGTGGCTGGAGAGTGGAGAGAACTTTGTGTGTTGCCGGGACGGGATGCCTGCTAATGCAGGTGCCGTTGCAGAGATCGTAACGTATGATGGGTCTCAGACTCGGGCTACGACTTTTGAGTGATAAACGTATAAACAGGCTAGTGTATTGCAATTACGGCGAAGTGTGCGACAGGAAACGATATGAGCTATGAGTTGTCGTCGCCGTGGCGGAAATTTGACGACCGTACCAACCTGTGACGTCGCCGTGACTGCTAATTGACGATCGCATTGGCTCGTGTGTAACGGTCACTGTGCCTGGTATGTGACGACCGCCGTGACTGTTTATATAACGGCCGTTGCGACCGAAACGGGACGGTCGTCGTGAGACCTGACGTGTCGCGACTCGCTGTGTCACAGGTCACCAGTTGCGGGCGCTCCATCTGACGGTGTCGTCCGACGGCTCCACGGTGACCAGCGCCGCCACTGCGGAAACCATCGGACCCCGAAAATGCTGCTAGCCGTACACGAACAAAAGGCGCCAGGCACCCAGGACCAGCGCCCTGCTCCGAGGCGGTTCCAAAGAAGGCCGCATAGTGCACTTGCTGTGCTAAGGCATAGTGCGCGCTGACTGATAGGAACAAATGACGGTCAGTTATCAGATCTCAGTATGGAACTCAAGATGGTCGGAGCCGACCTGGCCCGGTGGATGGTGTGCCAGGGTTGATTAAGTGTCGAAAGGAGTGAGACGCCCAGATATGTGAAGGATACGTCGATACGAGCCCCGGCTTCGACTCCCCGTCCCAAAACGATGTTGGCTGTGATTGGAGTTTGGTATCTTTACGGATCCCCCCCCCCCACCCCACCCCGGAATTTGTGCTATGTAATAGGACGATATTATGTCGTGGTCTCATTCTGGCTCGATATGGTAATAGGTACTTAATTGGACAGATGTTGATGGTATTGGTGGTGGATGTAAATGACAGGTTTGGCGAGCGCGAACTAGTAATCGTGAGTGCACTAGCTGCAATCAGTCGCGCGCTTATTGCTGAGCACTTGTGAGCAAGAAAATGGTATGAAAGTGGTAGTTCGTCGTGAAATATGTGTACTTTTGGATTAAGTTTTCAGAACAGAAGTGTATTTTTGCCGTGTACACTGCAGCTCTGGAATAGATACATAGAGATCGGCTGTGTGCTGTAGCAGGTCCGTGCCAAAAAAATCAAAGGTGATATGTGAATTTAAGTGAATATGCCTCGCTTTATTTTCAATTTTATTATAACAGAACAAATGCGTCGACTGCTGATTACCCTCGGTTCCTAACAATAACGTTTGCAATACTGGAAAGTACATAGATAATAGATACCCTTGCGACCGACTGGCGCGATCCGAGAATCTCTCTCACTGTTTTTGCTGACCTACACACGAAAACAGACATGGGCACGGATCCCAGACGACCAAACACGAAAATCAAGATGACCACTAGATTAGTGGTCTTTAAGCGTGGAATTATGGTGGAAAACATGGCTAATAGATGTCTCTCAACGAACCAACTATTTTGCATTCCCTCAGAGTTCACAGTTCTGAGAAAATCCCTCAAGATCCATCTCGGATCCATGGTCACAAATCATGGATCCGAGATGGATCTTGAGGGATTTTCTCAGAACTGTTAACCCTGAAGGAATGCAAAATAGTTGGTTCATTGAGAGGCTTCTATGAGCCATGTTTTCCACCATAATTTCATGCTTGAAGACCATCAATCTAATGGCCATCTCGATTTCCGTGATTGGTTGTCTGGGATCCGTGCACATGTCTGCACGAAAACACGGCCGAATAGCTATGAGCGAGAGCACGGAACGATGCTGGTGACTGACGGACCAGCGAAAATAGAGCTCCCGTCTACGCGCGGAACAGCGCTGATTGGCGCGGATCACAGACTCCATTGGCTCATCAGAGTTCAGACTGTTGACGGTCGTTGCTCCTCCCTCCCCTCCCCGAGAGGGCGTAGCCAAGTACCTTAGTTGTGTGCGCAGCTGGCGGCCACCGGCGCCCAGTCGTCTTTTTGCATCCGTGTAACCGTTGAGTGGATGGTATCCAGACGAGCTAGGCGTCGGCGTCGCCCATCCAGCGGTCGGGCACGGGGCAGCGCAGGTGGACGGCCGCGGATGGTCCGCCACCGATCTCGGCACACTCTGCAGAGTGCGGCCGGACGCTCCACGGAGTTGCATAGCGTCGATAGGCCGTATGGTGTCGCTGTCGTAATTATAAAAGCGTAAGTAGAAGGTTGAAGCAAGATAGAATGCTGTCGTTTTCGAGCTTTGTTACACATAATTAGTACATAGGTATTGGCCGTTTCTTTACAAATAATATCGCAAAGCACAGCTTTATGTGCTGGTAACGATATGTGCGCGTTGGTTGCGGCGGTAATCGTCGAAGAAATATATAATTTATGAACGTTTCTTGATCATTGAATGATAAACATGGCAATGTTTGCCTGTTGTGAAGAAGACTCCTATACTGCCGCTCTATCGTCCGGAATTATTCGTGTCTGATAACGGCGATTCCGCCACTCTATCAGCTGATTTTTGTTTCCGAGTCACGTGACCAACCGGTGTCTCCCTGGCTGCGCAGCGAAAGAACGATTTGTTTACAGTGACCTTGAAGTTAATTTACAGGTCCTTCAGATGCCTAAAGTGCAGACATTTTCATCGTAGCGGCACTACTACTTTGAGGTGCAATAGTTCGAAATAAATGCTGTTTCACGCAGCCATAAAAGAAATACGACTTATCTGCCGTAACAAGATACGATTGGTTGTGCAATAGGAAAGCGTTTGCCAAAGGCGGTCGACATCGGTTACCGCCAGTCCCTTATGCGGACTGGACGTTCGTATAATTGCATGCAGATTGATATCAATCTCGTACATGCAGATTCCGGACAATTTCAAATCGGCTCAAAATGGGCATATAGACCAAACAGGATACGCTGATCACGAATCCGAAGTCTGTTCCGCGGCACATATGAAACTTTTCCCGGAATTTCCGAATTCCGAATCTGCATGCGGATTCCGGACAATTTCAAATCGGCTCAAAATGGGCATATAGACCAAACAGGATACGCTGATCACGAATCCGAAGTCTGTTCCGCGGCACATATGAAACTTTTCCCGGAATTTCCGAATTCCGAATCTGCATGCGGATTCCGGACAATTTCAAATCGGCTCAAAATGGGCATATGGACCAAACAGGATACGCTGATCACGAATCCGAAGTCCGTTCCGCGGCACATATGAAACTTTTCCCGGAATTTCCGAATTCCGAATCTGCATGCGGATTCCGGACAATTTCAAATCGGCTCAAAATGGGCATATGGACCAAACAGGATACGCTGATCACGAATCCGAAGTCCGTTCCGCGGCACATATGAAACTTTTCCCGGAATTTCCGAATTCCGAATCTGCATGCGGATTCCGGACAATTTCAAATCGGCTCAAAATGGGCATATAGACCAAACAGGATACGCTGATCACGAATCCGAAGTCCGTTCCGCGGCACATATGAAACTTTTCCCGGAATTTCCGAATTCCGAATCTGCATGCGGATTCCGGACAATTTCAAATCGGCTCAAAATGGGCATATAGACCAAACAGGATACGCTGATCACGAATCCGAAGTCCGTTCCGCGGCACATATGAAACTTTTCCCGGAATTTCCGAATTCCGAATCTGCATGCGGATTCCGGACAATTTCAAATCGGCTCAAAATGGGCATATAGACCAAACAGGATACGCTGATCACGAATCCGAAGTCCGTTCCGCGGCACATATGAAACTTTTCCCGGAATTTCCGAATTCCGAATCTGCATGCGGATTCCGGACAATTTCAAATCGGCTCAAAATGAGCATATAGACCAAACAGGATACGCTGATCACGAATCCGAAGTCCGTTCCGCGGCACATATGAAACTTTTCCCGGAATTTCCGAATTCCGAATCTGCATGCGGATTCCGGACAATTTCAAATCGGCTCAAAATGGGCATATGGACCAAACAGGATACGCTGATCACGAATCCGAAGTCCGTTCCGCGGCACATATGAAACTTTTCCCGGAATTTCCGAATTCCGAATCTGCATGCGGATTCCGGACAATTTCAAATCGGCTCAAAATGGGCATATAGACCAAACAGGATACGCTGATCACGAATCCGAAGTCCGTTCCGCGGCACATATGAAACTTTTCCCGGAATTTCCGAATTCCGAATCTGCATGCGGATTCCGGACAATTTCAAATCGGCTCAAAATGGGCATATAGACCAAACAGGATACGCTGATCACGAATCCGAAGTCCGTTCCGCGGCACATATGAAACTTTTCCCGGAATTTCCGAATTCCGAATCTGCATGCGGATTCCGGACAATTTCAAATCGGCTCAAAATGGGCATATGGACCAAACAGGATACGCTGATCACGAATCCGAAGTCCGTTCCGCGGCACATATGAAACTTTTCCCGGAATTTCCGAATTCCGAATCTGCATGCGGATTCCGGACAATTTCAAATCGGCTCAAAATGGGCATATAGACCAAACAGGATACGCTGATCACGAATCCGAAGTCCGTTCCGCGGCACATATGAAACTTTTCCCGGAATTTCCGAATTCCGAATCTGCATGCGGATTCCGGACAATTTCAAATCGGCTCAAAATGGGCATATAGACCAAACAGGATACGCTGATCACGAATCCGAAGTCCGTTCCGCGGCACATATGAAACTTTTCCCGGAATTTCCGAATTCCGAATCTGCATGCGGATTCCGGACAATTTCAAATCGGCTCAAAATGGGCATATAGACCAAACAGGATACGCTGATCACGAATCCGAAGTCCGTTCCGCGGCACATATGAAACTTTTCCCGGAATTTCCGAATTCCGAATCTGCATGCGGATTCCGGACAATTTCAAATCGGCTCAAAATGGGCATATAGACCAAACAGGATACGCTAATCACGAATCCGAAGTCCGTTCCGCGGCACATATGAAACTTTTCCCGGAATTTCCGAATTCCGAATCTGCATGCGGATTCCGGACAATTTCAAATCGGCTCAAAATGGGCATATAGACCAAACAGGATACGCTGATCACGAATCCGAAGTCCGTTCCGCGGCACATATGAAACTTTTCCCGGAATTTCCGAATTCCGAATCTGCATGCGGATTCCGGACAATTTCAAATCGGCTCAAAATGGGCATATAGACCAAACAGGATACGCTGATCACGAATCCGAAGTCCGTTCCGCGGCACATATGAAACTTTTCCCGGAATTTCCGAATTCCGAATCTGCATGCGGATTCCAGACAATTTCAAATCGGCTCAAAATGGGCATATAGACCAAACAGGATACGCTGATCACGAATCCGAAGTCCGTTCCGCGGCACATATGAAACTTTTCCCGGAATTTCCGAATTCCGAATCTGCATGCGGATTCCGGACAATTTCAAATCGGCTCAAAATGGGCATATAGACCAAACAGGATACGCTGATCACGAATCCGAAGTCCGTTCCGCGGCACATATGAAACTTTTCCCGGAATTTCCGAATTCCGAATCTGCATGCGGATTCCGGACAATTTCAAATCGGCTCAAAATGGGCATATAGACCAAACAGGATACGCTGATCACGAATCCGAAGTCCGTTCCGCGGCACATATGAAACTTTTCCCGGAATTTCCGAATTCCGAATCTGCATGCGGATTCCGGACAATTTCAAATCGGCTCAAAATGGGCATATAGACCAAACAGGATACGCTGATCACGAATCCGAAGTCCGTTCCGCGGCACATATGAAACTTTTCCCGGAATTTCCGAATTCCGAATCTGCATGCGGATTCCGAATAATTTCAAATCGGCTCAAAATGGGCATATGGACCAAACAGGATACGCTGATCACGAATCCGAAGTCCGTTCCGCGGCACATATGAAACTTTTCCCGGAATTTCCGAATTCCGAATCTGCATGCGGATTCCGGACAATTTCAAATCGGCTCAAAATGGGCATATGGACCAAACAGGATACGCTGATCACGAATCCGAAGTCCGTTCCGCGGCACATATGAAACTTTTCCCGGAATTTCCGAATTCCGAATCTGCATGCGGATTCCGGACAATTTCAAATCGGCTCAAAATGGGCATATAGACCAAACAGGATACGCTGATCACGAATCCGAAGTCCGTTCCGCGGCACATATGAAACTTTTCCCGGAATTTCCGAATTCCGAATCTGCATGCGGATTCCGGACAATTTCAAATCGGCTCAAAATGGGCATATAGACCAAACAGGATACGCTGATCACGAATCCGAAGTCCGTTCCGCGGCACATATGAAAC